CCTATTATACGTTGAGCTTACGAATCATGCTCAACGATAGCCTCGATTTAGGACATTCTGAAGGCTAAAAGTGTTCTTTACTTTACTAGCTTGAGCCCATCGCGTTTTATTTCTTGCGATAGTTAGGCTAAATTAATACCATTTGAGCCCACTGAACGGCTGTGTTCCTATCGCAGTATAAAGCCAACTTTGCTTTTCCAATAGCACAAATTGGTTTGGTTCCAGTGACCCACTCAGATCAGAGAAACACGGAAAGCAAAATTTAGTCAAAGTAAGGTTTGGGAAGAACAAATATTTTGGGAAGTAAGTTGTCTTCTTAGAGATCCTATAATACGAATGATGTTCATGGCCACTTGTTCGTAGTGAGTATATTCCTTACCAATAATACCTGTATGAGCTCCCACTGTGTTAGAAATTAATTCGCAATAAAAGTAGATCGATGGGAAACAGAATCATTGGAGATCAGTATGACAGTGGCTGGATTCGGCTATGTACGAGCTATCGACCATGAAGGTTATGTGATCACAAGCTATGAAAGTTAAGATCTTTCATGGTTCTAATGAACTCTCGGTTTTACCCATCTCATCACTTTGATGTTCACCACATTTCCAATGATTGCCTTCTTGAAAGAGCTTATTATCCATTTCTCACTACTTATCTAAGTTAATTATCTAAGATGTGTGTTCCCTTTATGGTCCCTGAAAAACAATCCCTGCATAATAATGATAAGACATTCTTTTCACCCTGTCAAATTCATATCTTGTGATGGACGAATTCAATAAGTTGGAGGGTTTGCTGCTTGGCCAGAATGTTCCAAGCAGTATCTGGTATCTCCTCTCCCACTACTCTTTTATTTTCTAGTTTATGGGTTAGTGAAAAGCAGTGGAATGACCAGGTTTATTGAAATTCAAATTGAGCTTTTAAGATACTCTTCAATGATTGGTAACAATATTTTATTCTCGATATGCGCTAGATGTTATGGCAAGTAACAAGACTAGAACCTTTCAGTTATTCTCCGATGAAAATAAAATAAAATTGGTAGCAGTAAAATGCACCTGAAAAAAAGGAATGGTAGCCCACTTCTTCACATCCAAAAATTCAAATGTCTTAATTCATTGACAGCTGGTTGAGTAAGTTCTGTCCCCGGTGCCCTGTGCTTGACAACCACTTCATATCTTGTTCCTAAATATTATTATTATTATTTCGAATGGCAGGCTTTGTGATATTTATCATTAGCCCTTAAACTTTGACTTCAGCTTCCCCCAAGGGTGTGGGGGGGGGGGTACATTCATAGCAGTTAATTAATAGCAGTTCATTAGCCGTCTTCTTGCTCCCCAGTATCTTTGGCTTTCCGTCGTTGTCTTTAGGGCTGGACATCGAATCAGGTGGGTCTTCTCCATTTCCTCCTGTAAGTTACATTGAGGGTATGTGGGTTGAGTGTATACTCCAAATCTGTGAAGATGTTTTGCCAAGCAATCGTGTCCGGTACGTAGTCTATACTCAGCAACGGCTTCGATTCTTGGCCAGTCGGGTATGTCGGAGTGCCACTGTCCACTGTTTCTCCTTTGTTCGAGCTTTAAGTTCTTTGCACCTTTAGGTCTGGAATTCTCTCCTGATTAAGGCCTTCATTGTGTGGAAAGACATCGGCCGGTCCATGCTTTGCAAAATCGTTGTCCCCTTCTTAGCAACTGTGTCAGTAATCTCATTGCCTTTAATGCCACAGTGACCAGGAATCCATTGTAGGACCACTGTTTTGTTTTTCTCTCTCAGCAGCTGATAGAGTTTTCTACATTCCTTTATCTCAGCTGTTTTGGGTGCCTCTCTGTTTCCAATTGAGTTTATTGCTGACTGTGAGTCCGAAAGTATCACCACTTTGGTGAATTTCGTATCCAGGCAACATAATTGGCATAGTGCTATCCTAATAGCCTCTATTTCTCCTTCAAAAGCGGATCTATTGTGTCCCGCTGCATGTTCCTAAATATTGAAGAAGCAGGTTGATATTGCATGACTTTAAGCGCTCCGGTGAATTGACTAGTCATGCTATGAAATGGTGGCCTAGGATAGTGCAACCATACGGATTATGTAGCATCACACTTAATATAAATATAGTTCAGTCGTTATTGAAGAAGATTGTTTTGGTCAAAATTATCTGTTAAGGGCCATATGCATGCTATGCTTCGTGTTTAATCAAGTCTCCCTATGAAATCCAGTTGGAAAATCACATATTCTCTGATTTCGCGCACTTTATGTTGACCTAGGTAGTGGTCTATGGTAACCCAGTAACTAGGATCACTCCATCTGACGTTTTGAATCTTTCACAAGTATTTTAAGCTAATAAAACGCTTTATTATTATTATTATTATTAAAAAGGCAAAGAAGATTCAGATCTGTTCAATGATTTTGCCAAAACATTTCAATATAAATTTCTTAGAAAATTAATTTATAAGTGTTTGAACTAATCTACTAACTGTTAAAAAATACTGAATGTTCACGAAAAAAATTGATTTATTGTTACCTTATTCCAGAATATCGAGCACTATGGATTCATTCAACGTCATTCCCACGTCTGTTGAATAGTGACCTCAAAGTTCCGTGAATTATATTTCGCGATCAAAGCTAGTCAGCTCCTGTACAGACGTCTTCTTGCCACTTCCTAGATCTTGCCCCAGGGCTGGATCTGCAAGACTATAGAGATAAAATGATATTGCTGCCGATGGGGTCCAATTATTGGGATCCAATTCCGGAGATGCATAAGGCGGTAATTAACCCTGACCCAATTTCTGGCCCGATAACAAGCTGCAATCTGAAGAAGATTTGTTAGGCTGGTAGGGAGTTTCGAAAGCTATGCATTAAATGGAAATGTCAATAATTAACCTTCACATCTTACCTAAAATGGTGTGAAGATCCACAGTCAATATTCAATACATTTACTATACACAACTATCATTGGTGAAAGAGAATAATTACATTTAGCCTGTTAATTACTTCAAATACATTTTATTTATCAATCTAATTTAAATGAATGAAGGAGAAATGATGTTAAGTCATCTAGAGGAATAAACAGAAGGGATGCTGAGAAGTTCATCTAATTACAAAGTTCAGGAAGAATATTCATTAAAAATAATTGAATGACAATTCACTTTAGTTGTTCCGCCTTCCTCATATTTCCCCAGGAAACACCTTGCATTTACATTCTTATCGCCAGGAAAATTGATGAAGTTGGAAATTTACTTGCAATACTTTAAAGATCTTTAGATATAATCTGGCATAAATGAAAATGAGCGAATATGAAGAAGAGCTTTGAATTTTTAAATTTGAACTGCAGGATTTAAAAAAATCAACAATGAAATCCGGCTGGAACGACAAATATTGTCGCTTAACCCATTCTAAATGGGCAAAATGCACTGTCGACATTGATTGTCAAAATTGTCATGCCTAAATATGCTTAGCGTGTCCCACAAGCTAAATAGCTACTTATTATTTTCGTCATATTTTAGCGAAGGTTTTTAGCTTTAATAAGTGTGAAATTTTTATACCGTTTCAATTTTTGATAAATTACCATATTCCAATCGATTATCAAAATATATATTTAGTAGTTCAAAATTAACATTCATATTTGAGGCGTATGATCATGTCAGAGAATTATTCAAGATGGAAATCTGTATAGTAACATATTACCTATAAATATAAAAACGGTGATCTATATATTATCTCAATTGCACTTTGGGTAATCTTTCAAAAGATGGAAGAGAAAATTAGTGTCCAATCTTTTGAGCTTAGTGAATTTGAGTGCTTTCCTCTCTTTACCCCAAAAGGAATTCAAATAGATTTGTAAAGTGCCAACGAATATAAAGCCTAGGATTCCAAGCCGTCATCAAGTATGATTCTCACACAATTGCAGTCAAACCTCAACCCAAGGAAATAGATGACTTTCGAAACTCCTGAAGAGTGACGATTTTAGTCGGACAGATACAACAGTCGCAATCAAAGGTTTAGATGTGGAGATATTTTTCGATTTCCCTTTTATCTCACCTCTTTTATCCCTCTACTTCAAACCAATCCAAATAGTTATCAATACAAAATTAGAAAGTGACATTAACAAAATGTTTCTTTCGTTATTCGAGATCGGAATTTACCGCTTACCACATTGCGATATTGTCAAATCCAATTAATAACAGATACCAAAGTGCTTATACATCATACTTCTAAACCCCTCTATCAACATAAGTCAGCTGACAGTTAACGAGTTTGTTACAAACTACAGTGCTCCATCTGATAGCTCTTGAATAGTATAGAAATAGCATTATAATAGTTTTAACTGATAACAAATGTTTGGAAGGGGGATCTCTTGATACGAATGGACTCAGGGTTTGACAAATTCTGAGGATTAAGAGTTATTAAATGTTCATTGCAGTATTGTTACTTTGAAGCCGTTTCTTATGCGCTTTAATTGTACCTGTTCAAAAGATCGATCGACCCAGTTATTCTCCACAAGCTTAGAAGGGTCTGTTCTAACTCTTAAGTTACTGAAAATATCAACTCACTCAGCATGCAAGGGGAATAATTTAACTAAAGAGACATCTTCATTGTTTTTCCTCCTTTATAATACTACAGTACAAATGATTCCTTGAGATTGATGTTGATAAATTCACTTAAGCACTTCTGCCATCTGCCACGGTTTACCCTTTATAAAAGTCAAAATTATGAATAATTATTCTATTTAACTAAAGTAATCTGAATCTGAATTATTTACTTTTAATCACGAAATACGGGCAAATCGGAGAAATCGAAATAACCTACAAACAGCGAACGGTAAATGCTTGCTTCGCAACCTTGATGTTTATATTAACTTGCCTATTGGCCCACTCGGGAACCAATCACGATGCGCGTAAGTCTGGTGTCCAGGCTTTGCCAAATTCTACAGCTTCACTAATATTTGCGCAAGTTCCTCCCGCTTTCATTCAGCCCACTGCAGGAATTCGCCCTTGAGGATTTTAAACATGGATGTTGATTCAATTTGCGGGCAAATATCCAGTGGACTCATTCCTCAAACCCATGACCTTATTCGAATCTGGACCTATGCAGGTTAGTACTGCTATCGCAGCATGACTCATTGATTTGACGAATTGAAATTCAAAGCTCTTCTAAACATGGGAGTTAACTTGAGTTGGTGAGTCAGCATTTCTCTAGGAGCGATTTTATATCGTGAACTCTAACCTGACGCAGTATCCGATGTGGGATAATTTGAAAGATTTGGGCAGAACTTTAATTTATAGAAATTCTGCAAATATCGTTGTCTCAATGCTGGTGCTAAATTTTGCTGGGTTTTACTAATCAAATAAGGTATTTCATTTGTTAAAATCAATCTTTTTTGGCTTGAATTAATCTGGGAAATACGAACTGAAACAAACATGTTGGAGAATATTAAGCGGAAAATTTACTTCTTATATCCATTTAGATTTTCTGAAAAATGTTTTGCGGAGTAAGAAAATAAAGGTTTAGTCTGAAAATGATACTTCAAAATAGACTTAACAAATAGAGATCTGTAGAATCTATTTGGTTGAGGATTACAGTTTGACAGCTTCCTTCGTCTTAAACACAGAGAATATATGCGCTCTATTTTGCTTATTGATTACCAGGTCTGATTATGTTAAAGCAAAAATTGCTATTGGTGTTGAAAATTAAATTTTAATCACTCAAAGGTAAGTGTAAAAAAGTTATCATATTTTCAAGAATTTGCTTAAACAAAGGTGATAATTAAGATGTACTGACATATTTTTAGAACAGGTGTGTCCTCTGGTTGCAGAAATTTATCCTGAAAGCACACTCGGCTAAACGAATGCAAATGTATGAAAAATTATTTCATGAAGAAAACCTCACATAATTTTAATGATAATTTTAATTCACGTTGTTTTAGTGATCCTCTAAAGGCTAGTTTATCCGTTTCGCATTATTCCCCAAGTTCTTGACCCATCAGCCCATTGTGGTTTATAAAACTTTCGTATGACACTAGACTCAATATTTATGCATAAAAAGTCGACTAGTTTCGATTTAATATTTGTGGGTGAAAAGAATGAATTGATTTAGTGATGAAAGTGAGCCATTGTTAAGTTTTGGTGAAAGTAGCCTGCGCCCAGTCGTTTTCTGCCCTACTTTTTTTCACTGGAAATTGGGTTCTACAAAAGGAAGTCGCATTTCCTCAATTTAATTAAACGAACTTACTTTCAAGGCTAGATTTATCTAGTTACTGAAATAGATGGAGTTAGGGTCAGTTTATTTATTCAGGGACATTTCAAGCTAACCTTCTCTCAGGAGTGGATCGTAACTTTCAGACTAAGTCCATACATCCGCCACATAACTATTTGCTTGTTGGAGATGATATGATTTTATTTTAGCCATAAAGTTATAACCATGGTTTGAGCAGAGTGGGCTTCATTTACGCAGGTCCTCTTGGCAGATCCATTTGCTAGTATAGTAGAAGAACGGTAACCAATGTTCTGGTAACTTTCCATTCATTCTACTCGACATTATGGAAATTTTTTCAATGGTAATTTTATCCACAAGTAAATAGAATGCTTTTATTCATGTGGTTTAAAGAGAAATAAACTGTTCAAGTTCAAGATTTCTGCAAGAAGCGTGTGCCAGTATATTTTTGAGGCGCAAACTAAACATGTTGCATCATGGCCAATGAGTTAAACCTTTAAAATAAATCATTTCTTCGGTTTAATATTATTTAAATTATCTTGCGTCGGTTACTATGTTGGGAAATGAGGGCTCATAAAAGTGCATAACTTTTCATTTTTGGGAAGTGTCAGGGAACAGGAAGGGAGTAAAATTAGGTTTGAAGCGGAAGGAGTTCGTTAAGGAGAGCAAGTAATGAAATTAGCGCGCCAAAGGCCTGACTTTGTTCGAATTCTGAAAACGCTGTCTTCTGCATTTTCCTTTAAGGAGTAGAGGTAAATGCGTAGTGTCGTAGGTCCTAAATTTGAGAAGCGATTCACAGAATTGAGTGTGAGGTTATGATCAGAATATTTAGAACTTATTATTTAATTTCAAGATTTTGTTCCCTTGATTAATTTGTCTAGAAAAAACGATAGTAGCACCGTTTTGTAAAAAAAGAACATTATCAAATTGGCTATTCAAATTCTAATGTTGAGAATAGCGACAAATCTTTGAAGTGAATCACACCAGTTTTGAATCAGGTTTAATCAGTTTAAAACATCAGATTTTTTGTCACCACTCTACTAAAATTTCGAGCAATCGATCACTTGATTTTTTATGTGTTATTCAAGGTCATCATCGGTCATTATGTCAAATAGACTGAATCTTTATAAAAAATTCGAAATTAATTTAAGAAGTCATTTTCAATGAAGCTCTAAGTTTCTAAATTATTGAGACTATTTTTGATTTGAAGGTCTTATTGAAATAACTTATGAATATATTTATTAATTCATTATTCTGGTTTATAAAATTAATTGGCATGGCAACCGTTTAAGTAGTTACATTATCTATTCATTTTCAAGTCCTGCTAAAATTCCAGTGACGAATTTATTCTTTATAATTCGTATAACATAAGGCAATTGGTTTCAAGCTGGAACCATGTTAGTTTCTATGCTATAAATCAAAATTTCGAAAATCAAATGTGAACTTCAACAATAATATGATGAAGAGAAATCAAAACTTTAAAAATTTCTTATTCTCTTACTTGGACTTAGCAATTGAAGGCAGAGAAAAGGTAGGATGAGTACTGCGCCAGAAGTAAATCGTCAGTTAATAGACTTTTTTTGCCGTAATTGTAATTGTGGCAATTGGGATCTTCATGATCACGGCTGTTTTATGTTTGAATATCCGCAATCGCGAAAAGCCCGTTGAAGGTACGCAAATGGTGATTATTATAAACTCTGAAGAACCGTTCAAAATTATGACCTTAACTGCCTATTTAAAATGAGATCCCCGTAACACGTCATACTATTTCGTCTCCTCGTAGTTTTTAAGTGAGGAAACAGAATAACAGTATTTTATGGATAATCCTTTATTAATGAGCTAATGCTATCTGTATTCTTAAGTAAATGATATATTCGATTAGAATACATCTTTTCAACTTCTCTTTGGCATCTGCAAATGCCCGTATTTTCCATCTAACAGTAAATGCTTCAAGTAGCCAACGCAAAATATTACTATGCCAATTTCTACTAGTGGTTGTATCAAATCTGCCAAACGAACATTTAAAAACTAGTCCTTGTGAACAAAAATTTTGACTATTGTCATTATCATGGGGACTACTTCTTCATTCACATTCATTTAATTAAGCAGGCAAATAAATAACAAGTGAAATTTAATCATTATTGAATGAGAATGAGAATGTAATGCACTCTTCTCACAATTGATTGAATAAAGCAAATTCTCTGAACTCCATTCTAATGGGATTATAGACATAAAAGAGGAAAGACGATTCCACGCTTTGAAATGAGCTCCTTGCTTAAAAGCAGTAAAAAACAACGGCGCATGTA